AGCTCTAAGTGCTACTTTTTCGAAAAATTTTCGAAAAATTTTAATTTGACTTTTAAACATCATAAAATTATCAATAAAAATTGGCACAATGTGATATTTTAGAGTGTTATGGTAATCACTTTAACAAAAATTTTCTTACTAATACACAACATCGATTTGCTTAGTTAAAAACAAGTATTTGTATTACCCGTTTATTCGATTATTTTGACGGATCATCAAGTGAGCCGATACTTTTTGTAGGGGTGTATAAATAGATTCTTAGCAATATTTTTTATTTGTAATTGGTAATAAATAATTCAGCAAAAACATTGGGTGAAAACTCTTACTATAATTACTATGTAATAAAGTACACCTATGGTTTGAGATAGCATACCCTATAATGTTGAAAACCAACAAATGTATCATTTGCTCACTACTTGATATATTAAATTATTACATAGTTCTTATCTAATGAATGAAAAATATTGAATATTAGATATTGATTTAAATAAATTATAAATATTAAATTGTATTAAATAAAATTATAATTATTAAATAAATTCATTAATGCATTCTCACCATTATAACCAACTCATATCTTCTTTTGGTTCAGAATATGATCATAAAATGATAAATGTTAATTTTGCAACAAGAAAACTTCAAATGGCAATCATTAGTACAGCTCCATGGAATATTAAACTGTATCTAATTTAAATTTCTATTTTCTAATTTTTAATCTAACTAATTGATTTTATTATATTACTAATCAACTAAACTTCTTTAATCCTTTACATGACATGATTTAGAACTATGAAATAGTGCAAATATTATGATTAATGTTTATAAATGTACCTTTTAACAAATTAAATAAAATACAAAAGAATAATTTAAATAAATGTTTTACTCATCCAAATCACTAACCAGAATATTGAACAGAATGTGGGCTTTCTATTAATATTATTTATGGTCCCTGACAGTTGTTAAATGATTTAATTTAAGTTTATTATTTTCAATGAACACATGATTTTCTAATTGCAAAAAAGACTTCTATGATTAACTTCTGAGTTACTTCAATTTTTACTGAATTACTTTGGTAGTCTAATAAAATAGGTGAGAAATCAGAATATGTTGTTGTTATTGCCGCAAAATTGATTTTGGTGACACAAAGTCGAGTTAAAGTCAGATGACGGTCAGTTTTGTATATATATATGAAACATATCAATACCGATCATTTCTTAAAATTGAATACCCTCTATGTTGCACATAACTCCAAAATTTGTTTATGTGGCGCAGCATTTGATGATACGCATTATACTGGGTATTTGATTAGGTATTCATTGAACCATCTTGAGAAAATCAAGAAGCTTTTTTTATAAAAAGTCATGTGATCCTTGTTTTCAAACAAGGAAGGCGTTATGACAAATGACAAAATGACCTATGACCCTGTCATAAAGGCTATATGACCTTGACGTACACCAATGATACTGTGCACCTGCATCAGTAAAAAATTTGACTGTTTATTGATAAATTTAAAAACCAATAAATTATGTATGTTCTGATGTTGAGAGGACTTTCATAGATGATGTATCAAGTTACAAAACAGCAAAAGATATTTAGAATTGTGACGTAAATGCAAAAGTTTCAATATCAACAACGTGTTTCTTTACATGTACCAAATGAATGGATGAAGAAAAATAGAATAGGAACAATAAAGTAGTAGTGATAGTTAAGGAATTGAATTACCAGAATGAATATGGATTTGGTGGATGTGGATGAAAAAAATCGTTCAGAGTATAGGGTAGCAAATCACAAGCATGTATATCAATATGTATCACCTTTTTAATCGAATTTGGTTTGATCCGTCATTATAAAAAACCAGTCAACACTCACTAGCCACATATATACCTTTTACTACTTCGCAGATCAGTTTGTACAACTGTGGGTAAAATTTTTTTAAAAAAAAACCATTAAAATCGTAATAATGTTTTTTTAAAACGATAAAATCCAATAACTTTGTAGGCATCCTTGCTTAAAATGTGTGTTTGTATTTCTCCTCTACATGCATTCAATTAAATTAAAGGTGTTTTTTTTTTGTTAATTTTTGACCATTCTTCTTCCAAAGCAAATTCCAGATTCGTTGTATTTGAGGAAGTTGCTTCTTTTTTCGATTGTATCAAGAAGGCCTAAATATTTATTTGCTGTGATTCAGCCAGCTCTCCGTTTCTTGTCATTTTAAAATTTTTATCAATTTTGATCTTCATAACAATTATAAATTATAATGGTTGATCTATTTTTAATTACAATCATCATACCGTTTTTATATCGTTTTTAAATTCTTTGTGGGCTATAACCGAGCATATAGAGTATATAAAAAAAGGAAATCCGTTCCAGCTCAATGTGGGGTACAATGGAAGTAATAAGATCGGATATAAACAAGGGTATAAAAGAGGTGCTTATTTTTTAAACATGGTAAAATTATGGGATATAATTTTTATGTATAAGATTTTGGTGTAGCATTTTCATGATATCTAAACTATAACGACATTTGTTTGTTACTAGAAAATAATTTAATTGCATAATTTTTACATTAACTAAAAAAAGTGTTAATCGAAACAAGAGAAGAAATTCCTCTAATTTACTGCTTAAAAAAAAAATAAAATAAAAAAAAATAAAAAGTAATATTATCATTGTTGTTGTTTGTCGTAGTCGTTGCCTCCACTGCTTTTGCTATGATTACTAATCGACGATATAACAACGATCGATGATAATGACGGTGCTAAATATGATTAATTAATAATGCAAAATTGTTATCTTCTGATACAATTGTTAAAATACAAGAAATCAAACAATTAAATAGAAAGAATAAAATAATAAATAATAAATAAAAAATAATTTTAATTGAAAATTATAGTTGGTGATGATAGTGCAGTGGTACACTTGTTTTTCAAGTTATTTTCAAGTTATCTTTCTTTATTAAGTTATCAAAATTAAATTGAATCCTCAAAAAATGAAAATTCCTTTAAATTTATCGGAATTTCGGAAGAACAAAAAATTTTTTCATACATATATAAAATTTATTTATTTACTGCGGTATAATATATCGAATTTAATTGGTTGTTGAATGACGGTTTATTTATTTTTAAAAGCAGATGTCGATGTTACACGGACAACCTTCAATTCCTTATTTAAAATTTTTTATTTGTTTTTTGTTAAATTTAGGAAGCGTAAAATATTGTTTGTATGTAAAAAAAATTTTTAAATAAAATTTTTTAAAAAAAAATTATAAACAAAACCTTGTTATATTGTTTTCATTAATTATCTTTAAAAATAAATCCAAAAAAATATTAATTGCTTCGTAACCATATTTGCAAATAAGAAAATGAAGATCTTAAAAAAAACATTATTGAAAAACAAATAAAAAAAAATCATTTTGATCATAAAAGAAAATTCCAGAATTGTTCTTAAAGATTAAAACTAGACCATAGATTTGCCTTTTTTTAATCTAGATTCGACATAATTGGATTAATGAGTTTCCTTGTTTAAAAATTTTGTTTAGTATTTCACAAAAATATCTTTGAATACAACCTTGTTTTTATAAATAAATAAATAAATAAAGTAAATGTATATATATGTATGTATATATATATACACTAATGAAATATAAATGTTCATTTCGATCTTGAAATCTTGTTTTCATTATATAGAAATATACGTAATGCTAATTGAAACTATCGGAAAATTATCACCGGAAAAATAAATATTATCAAGTATGAATGAATTTTTGTCTTTTTATATTTAAATTAATCAATTAAGCATGGTTAACTAATAATTAAAAATTGATTTTGACTTAACGCGTCTTAACGTCTTAATAAATATGCTTCGAAACTAAATTGGTAAACAAGTATGATGATCAAAGTAAACATAAAAACGCGTAATTCACGTGATAAGTAAACATGTGTAGCTTCAATCATTAACCAAAAAATGAAATATCCATCATCATCAATTTCATAACTACGGAAAAGGTTATCAAGTGAAAATAACTTTTAAATTTTTTTGAGATTAATAAATATTTAATCAAAATTAATTTCTTTTTTTCATATTTTAATAAAAAGAAATCTTTATTAATTGTTGTTTAATCTTTGATCTTTTTGTTTCATGTAATCAGATCACTAAATAATCACTATTATTACCTGCCATATTAAAAATGAAGGATAAACAATTAAATTTTCATTCTTCAAGTTTCAAGATTTTAAAGTGTTTTTTTATTTCTAATTTTGAATTGCAAACGCAAATCTAATTATGGCTACGCCTCTTGGTTTGTTATATAAATATAATCTAAAAAAAGAATATTTTCACTGTCCTGTTTTAAAATTAAATTAAAAAATTCTCTTCTCCTAGTCCAATAATAATAATAATAATAATAATATAATAATATATAAAATATATAAATAATATTACATATATATATATATATATATATATATATATATATATAGAAGAGAATTAATAAATAATGTCCTTTCAAAAACTTACACTTAACAATTCAATCGTTTCTTCAAACAACAACAACAACAATAATACACCATCTTTATCAAGACCGTTGATCAAAGTTCCTTCACCTTTTCATTACGATCCTGAATTTTTTTTACCAAAAAAAACCATTGGTTCTAAAACATCAAATGCCTTCATTATCTACCGTAAAATTTATGTTGATACACTTTTAAAACAAGAAGTCCACACCAAAATGACCGAAGTTTCACGTTGGGCTTCTGAATCTTGGGGTTCAGAAAATGATGAAATAAAAGAGGAATTCAAAGAGTTCGCAAAGAAAGTTGCAAGTATCTATAGACAAAAAGTTAAAGAAGCACTTACCACCCGTAAAGTTAGATTGCAACCTTCAATTTCTTATATCAATAAATCTTATAACAATGACGCTAGCAATAGCAATAACATTAGTAATAATGATAATGATAATGACAATAATAATACCAACAACAAAAACAAAAACAAAACAACGATTCATTTTATTTCTAATAATAATAATAACAATAATAATCATAATCATAATCATAATCATAATCATAATCATAATAATAAGAAGAAAAATGATAATGAAAGGAATTCGATTTCCTCAAATAATAATAAACGTCATAATCATATTTCTAAATCAAATTCAAATCATAAACACATTCAAGAACACCTCCAATATCAATTACAACAACCGCAGCAGCAGCAACAGCAGCAGCAGCAGCAACAACAACAACAAAATGACAAAGTTTTGCCTAAGTTTAATGAAAAAATCGAAACTTTAAATTTTCAACAAATTCATCAAGAACAACAATTTATTTTAGACCCAAAAAGCGATTATTTTCTTGATAATGATAATATTATTATTAATAATAGTAATGATCATCTATACCACTTTAACGTCGTTAACACGAATTCGCCCCCGACCAATGAACTGACCCCGCAGTTTTTTCATAATAATCAAATTTTCATGAATCTGGACAATAACAATGATTATGATGATGATGATGATGATGAAAATTGCAGTTTTTGTGGATTTCCAATTATTGTTTGTAGTTGTAGTAATGAATTACTTGATTTCCAAATTCAACAATTTTGGCAAAATAATAATAACGGTTTTATTATTGCTGAAGAAAGCGACTATAGTAATGCCAACGACAACAACGGGCTATATAATTCGATTTCAGAGACTTCAGGGATCGGCTGGGAAACTTGGAAATACCAATATCAACAACAACAATGATTATATATATATATATTCTTTTTCTTTTTTTTTATATGTCACACACAAAACTCATTAAGATTTCTGTTTATATCTATGCTATTGTAAGAATAACCCTAAGCTTTCATGTTTTAATTAATTAAGACATATTTTTAAGATAATCCATAAGACACGATAACATTAACAATAAAATTAAATATTCTGTGATTTTTAATATGTTTTTCTTTGTGAGACATTTTCTAAACATTATTTAAAGCGATGATCGGGAACCTTTTTTCCTGTTATCGTTTTTTGAATGAATGTGCAGATACTATTGGGTAGAAAGGTTATCTAATGTTTGAGAAAACTTTACGTAATAATTTTCCTACAAATTTAAAAAATTATGAATAATCATTTATATTGATTTGATGTTTGGTGGAGAAGTGACTCAAATGGTCAAGTAAAGCTTAATATTAATAATGAAACGTTACACTAATAGGCATTTAAGTTATGAAATACTCTTTGAGAATTTAATTGAACTTAAGATAGTGGAAAGAGAGCAATTTTTTAAATTTTGCAAAAAATACATAATAAATCCTAATGGGTGGGTGGGTGGGTGGTCGGGTATTAAGTAAATTTAGTATTAGATTTTAGGCCGGAAAATTTGCACGACACGATTTTTATCAGACCTGAATAATTATAGTTGAACTACAAGCCTAACATGTTATTGTTAAAGTAATAATGCTTTCCTTCAAGTATCATAGTAAAAATGCAGTTTTTAAAGAATAAATCTTTTAACACCAAAACCATGTGGATGGACTTTTTAAAGTTACCTGTCTGTGATTTGCAAGTAAGTCATTATTTAGAGAGAAATATTACTATATTGAGGTTTTTTCGACAATAAACGTTGTATAATAATATAGTTAGTACATCCAATATATCACGTGATAAAATTTGACAATTTTTTATGTTTTTAACGATATTAGTAATAGTGGGGTGTGTGATACAATTTTTTTTTTTTTGCATTGTTTATATTTGGGGCAGACAAAATAAGAAAACAAAATTGATTAAAAAAAAACGAGGTATTATTTTATTTGTTGCATTATTTTTTTACTTATGTTCCTTTTTTCTTTTTTTTCCTTATCGCATACGTACAAATTTGTATATTAATCATGCTATATAGTAAAAAATTAATTAATGTAATTTTATTATCAGTAATATTTAGTTTAATGAATTTTGCCGATTTGATTAATGCTCAAAAGGAAGGAACTACAGAATTATAGCCGAACACTTTTACCAAGCAATCGCCAACACCAACACAACGATAACTTTGGGAGGACAACATTTATGATAACACCTTCACCGATATCACTGAATGATAAAACCATTAATGTTGGCAATGAAAATAACGATTTAGTATAACTCAGGAATCTCGAGGTTGAAGCAGGGGTAGCTATCACATTTGAATGGAAAGACAGTTTGAATTATTCAGTTGTTGAATCAACATTAGAAAATCCTTGTAAAGCAAAAGTTGATTGTAAGTATCCTCTCATTTAAAGATTTATATTGTTGTTATTATTATTATTATTATTATTATTATTATTGATGTTTTATCATTTTTCAAAAAAAAAAAAAAAAAAAAAGGGATTGAAGTGGAATCATTTAAAGCACCTCATAATTATTTATTTCATATCAATAATAAGAATCCGAGAATGTTCTTTTGTTCAGTAGGAAAATTAGTAAGTTTTTGATTGTTATAATAGAATTTATATACAGTATATTTAATGTCCATTATTATAATGATAAATATTCAGTCAGATTACAATTAGAATCCAAAAACCGTAAATGTTCCATCATCATCATTATCATCAGCATTGCCATCATTGTTGTCAACAGCTTCTTCTTCCACTTCAGCCATCAAAATCCAATTCCTTTGTCAGATAGTACAAAACTAATTTTTTCTGATTTAAATACTTTTGATTGCTATTGTTATAATATCATTAATAATTTTTTAAATTTTTCATTTAATAATACAGAAATAACTAATATGGTATATTTGTTGTTTATTACGGATAAAAAGAGAAATTATCATTAAGCCTAGTCCAAGTAGTCTTTTTATATTTATTTTTTCGTCGATCTACGATCATGATATCGATTCCATCCAATGTTCTATCTTGTTTGTTATGTATAATCAATCGATCGGCTTAAAAAACACGAAAGGAATTTTAAATTCTTGATATGTTTAAATGATTATTTTTTCAATGTTTGTAAATATTACCTTACAGCATGAATGGGGAATGATCGAGCTAAATAAAACGTATGATGGAATCGACGATTTTGATTTTATCATTATTTATTATTAAACGATCATTTAAATATTTTTATTAAATGGATAATAATAAAATGAATGAATAAATGAATAAATAAATGAAATAAAAGTAAAAATTGAATTAAATAGTAAAATAAGTTACATAATCATATTAGAATTATTTATAATAAATAACAACATAATTAAATAAAAATTATTAAGCATATTACAATAGAGACAATTTTTAATTAGATTGATTGAATATTTGATTGATTGAATTATAAATTGATTGAATAAATTGATCTACACGCGTCAGAATAAATTAAAAAAATCAAAGAGGATATCAAGAGATGGAATTCCAAATAACGACGACGATTTGCGAATAAATTAGGATTTCAATGGATCCTATGCGTTTGCCTTTAAAAAATTACAATGAAAAAAAATTTAATTTGTTATAATAAAAAAAATTATAGCAAAGAAACAATAAATAATTTCAAAATTACTCACGATAATGAGATTATTTTATAACGATAATTAATTTGCAAATATTGGTTCTTTCCATAACGATAATAATTCACGGAAAGACAAAAAAATAAAAGCGTACGTTAGATTTTATGTGTTTATATATTATTCATTTTAAATATTTTTTGTGCTGCCATAATCGAATTGGTTTATCAATTACCATATCTTCCATTCGGAAAAACTTCAGCTGGATTTGTTATTTGTTGATAAATAACTGTATCCGAATCTCAAAATTATAGTTAGTAATGATATGACGATGATGACTAAATTCCCCGAGAATTGAAGATTAATTAAATTAGTATTATTTCTTTTACGCGACAAATATCGTTAATCAAATTTTCGTAAAAAATAATTTTTTTAACCTCGTGTATTCATTCCAAAGTATATTACATATATAGCGCAGATCGTATCAATTTCCTAATTTTTATTACACTAAAAAAGTGGAAGTCGTGTAACAAAAAATTTTTTTTTTCATAGAATTATTTTTTCCTTTTTTTTATTAAAATAAGTTTTTTTTTTTTATGAAAAAAAGGTTTAACACAGAAGAAAATATTACCACATTTGGTCATGCAAGCTCAAAATGGATTATTTGTACGAAAAAAAAATTTTGTTTGAATGGTGTGGTGCATACCACAAGAAAAAGAAAAATTATTTATTTATAAATCCCATCAGCCAAAATAATCATAATAATAAGTAATTTAACAAATAGATAAAACAATAGTTAACCGTGGCTTATTTAAATAAATATACATATTAGTTGTTTTAAATAAGGCTTGAACGGAAATCAATGAAATTCAAACTGATTTGATTTACTTGATTTGATGATAATAGTAACTGATTGAATCCATGATTTGAATTAAATATATTTATTTTAATGTATATTTTATAATTTTATTTACAAAAATATTTTTTATTTTATATTTATTTATATAGTATAAATAT